TCCCGGACGAAGCCCAATTTTTTAATTTATATGCTATGATTGCACATCAAAAAGTTTATCGCACAGCTTTTGCATAGGTATAGCTCCTTTCAAAATTAAGTAAGTTTTGTATAAGCCGGAAACACATATGAGGTAAATGCACGACAAGTTACTTTAGCAGGAATCCCGAACTGTTTAACTATTTACTGTAAGTAACCGGGCAATATTTAAATTACTCTCGTTCATTCCTAATGTGATCTATGTTTCGGTAGGAGATTTTCTTGAAATACAAAACAAAGTGTACCGCTAAGATGACTTGTTTTGTATATACAAGGTCTACTCTAATTTCACATATTCACAGGTCCAGTTTTACACAATGTAAACCAGAACATCCAATTACTGTTATATTAATGTTAAGGGGGGATTAACACCAAAATGTGAGGTTAATATAAATTCAAATTTCAAATGTACAAATTTCAAAATATTTTTACTTTTTTCGTAAAAGATAATTCGTAACACCTTCATCTGAGACAACTACGTGATGAGATACATATTTCGCATTAATACAAAAGAAAAAAAAATATTACGTAACCTTTAAAAGTACACCACTAAATAAATATCAAATAGTGTAGCAAACTATTAGTGTCTTGTCACAAGTAGTACCCTGAAGAATGATGTAGTATTTTGGTTTCGGATGAAACTTACTTATTTTTCAAGTTTTGTACATTTTAGTGCCCTGATCGCTAAAATGTGAGTTGCCGCCATCAAATTCCACATGTTTTTCCTGTAATTTAATTTGTGGATTTCGTGTAAGATGGCGCTGTTAGCGTGTAGCTAAAGTCTGTATACAGTGTGGACGTTTAGGTAACGCAGTGACCTATTAACGAAGAAGAGCAACCTGTAATATACTTACATCAATTTATCACATGGATATTATCGCCAAAGGCTGACCTTGTGCTTAGAGATAAAGGTGGTGTTTTGTTTGTTATCGTATTAGATACGTCCTACATTATGCTACAAACAGGATTGTAATTTATTCCACAGACCATTTATTCTTGCTCTGTCAAATTTTAATTTTCAGGTATACAATACATCACCTGTTATTGGCTTTGTGTTTGAATTATGATCTATTTTGGAATTCTTATCAATATACTTGCTTTATAGTGTGTAGTGTATAATCAATGTCAATACTTATATACATAATATATTGGTCAACTTTTAATGCTCTGGTTTTATCAAGGTCCTTGGGTTTTATAGAAATATTTTATTATTAACGACCCTCGCGATCGTTTATAATTTTGTATTGCTGTCCGTCTGTCTGTCCCTGTGCACGATAACTTTGTGTAGAAACGTCCGATCGCTTTGAAAATAGACACACATGTTCTTCAGGATATAAGAAAGGTCCCTATTGTTTCGGCTATGTAGACTAACGGGCCAAAAAGTTACAACCCAAAAACTGCCCAAACCTACAAAAAAGGGTTCTGTTATAATTCTTGTTACAAAGAACATATGAACATCCGCTTTTCTGTGTTAGTAGATGAATTTTTAAAAAATTGCGCACGTGCAACCCAACTTTTGTATTGGAGCAATCCCAATTTTTTTATTTGTTATATTTAAATGAAATTTTGTATGTATATGCACCTCCCGCCTCGTATAAAAGTAAAAGTAATGCTACAAAAATTTGTTTTACAAGCTATGCTGATCTGGTGGAACAGAATCAATCCCTGCGTTGTAAAAAAGATGCATGCGCGAAGATCTCGAGAATCGTTCGGTATTCAGTTGTATCGGATTTTTTGGTCTAATATTAAGGCTATAGAGTGGGGCTCTGATATGTACCACAATAGCGATAATCGGATCTCATAAAACACTTATGTTTTTTACCTCTTATAAGATATTATAATAATGCCACAGATAAAATGTGAATCCCCTAAGAACTTGATTAAGGGTGGTGAATGGGGGTGGGGCTGGAAACAAGTTTTTAATTAAAAAAAGGGACATTTTTTAAATTGCAACCAGCACTTGCACGACGCAGATAAAATGTGTCGCTTTGGACATAGATTTTTTAATGTATGTCTTGGAGCTACACCCCCGAACGGTACCAAATTTGCGTTTCTAGTTACATTTTCTTCACAAAATGTTATATTTGGAACTGCAATTGCGGACAGTTTCTTCGTGTGACTTTAAAAAAAAATTATGCGCACTTCATCGTTGAAATAACCTAAACATATTGCACCAAATGTTCGTCTTACAAAAAAGTGGTGCGCATAGCGAATATGGCAGAGGGCAGTTCTAGCGCATTTTCCAATACATGTTGGAAGGCGCTATTATTGGCACTTTCTCCGTCCGTCCACTCGAAGCTGCATCTACTCTTACAGTTTTCAAGATATTTAGTTCGTTCTGTTTGCATTCGGTAGCTTAGGGTATAGTAACAACCAAGAACCCAGAAAATTTATACCAATTTCTTGCTCCTGCGCCTGACCAGCGGCTGGTAAAGTTAAAACCAGTTATGTAGGTATTATTATTCATCATCCTTTATATCTCTTTTCTTGTTTCTTGAAACAATACCTACTAACCTGGTACCTACATTTAAAACATAATATGCGCATGGTCTGCGCGTACAGAAGACAACTGTTGATTTATTAAGATATTCGCATGCATTATTACCAATGGACTCACAACTAGTAGAATCGTTACCAAAAATATGTTTTCCGCTTGGCGACATATCGCATATATGGTAAAAACCAGATGTGCGCATACGCATACTGCGCAATGTGCCAACTTTATAGTCATTTCTTTGAAATTAGTAAAGAAAAACAAGGCGTATAGTAAACATTAAATGTGTCATGCGGAAGCTGAGCGATATCATCTTTCTTAATCGGTTATTTTTTTGAAATTTTAACCACATGTGCTTCTAGTAAAGGCAAACTTATCGCAGCATTTACCTATACTACCGGCATATCTGCACATGCGTGATTCTACCCAAAAGCTTTTCTGCTTTTTCTTTTAGGTATGTCAAAACATATATGTACCAAATTTGGTTCCAATCGGTTCAGTCGTTTACCTGAAAATGAGACTACCGACAGACAGACAGATAGAGATAATCCAGATTTTGTTTGATTCGGCTTCGTGGTACTTCAAAATGTGTATTTTTTATTATTTATGCTACTCAGGTATAAATATTGAGAAAGGTAC